ACTTACAAAATACAAAGTAGTAGTTCCTGCACTACTGTTTTAAAGCGTGCAAAATTCTCAGACAAAAGCTGTCCGGAATTAATATCCTAAAATACAGACTTGTTCGCAGCGATAAATAAAAAAATTAAGTAGATCAGTCTGAGACAGACAAACAGCATGAAAACTTCATTCTAAAGAAGGGACAGAGGAAAAGCGTAGCGAGGTGGGGAAGAGATTAATAAGGAGTTACTGATCAGTCTCCAGCACTCTCCAGGCATCAAACGAGCCTGGCAGGCAGCATGCTGAAGCAAAAATACTGTCTGCAACACTACAGACAGGGCTAGCCATGCCATTACGTCCAGTGCCCAACATCTGCAAGTGCAGGAAAACTGTCCTTTCCCTGGCATAAAACGAGCCAACTACTAATGACTGAGAATGGGCAGACAGTGCCAGAGCTCAGATCCATCCAGCCCAATGTCCGGAGCCAACAACCACCCAAACCACATGCTGAGGGAAGCCTGCTGTTGTGGCAAGCGTGTTTCTCTCAACACCCTTCCCAGCTCCCACAAGCTGCAGGGCAGTGACTCTCGCAGGCACAGCTGGTAGCTTTGGATTTAACAGGTCTCTACTATTTCCTGGCTTTGCTGCCTTCATGGGCTGAGCTGTCCTTCAGTCTGACAAGCACTGGCTGTGAGGTTGCGATCAAGTCTGATCAGAAAAACACATTCTTTGGAGACTTTGTCTCCTGGTAGTTTGTAGGTCATCCCTGCCTCCCTATATCCCACCAAGGTCAAGTCCATTCTGCATTCACACTATGTTCCCTATTCATCTTGCATGCATTTTCTCTCACCCTTTCTAAATAAATGCAAACTTCTCCTTTTATTGTAGATGCTGTTCCAATGTAGTGAAATGACTATATTGTTCATTTACCAGCAAGCCATCAAGCCATATTTGTTTTGGTATTTCTTTTTCAGTAAATGCCTCCAGGTGCTTAATGACTTTTGTTTTCATCGAAGTATTCATGCAAAACTTTTCTGTGCTTATTCTCATGTATTTCTCTATAACATACACTGTTCATTTCTCCTCTGAAAAACGCAAGAGAGCCACTTTGTAAGCAGAGAATCTTTTATAACATTCAACACACAGTCTGTATTCCTCAGCTTCAATTTCTTGTAACTCATTTTTCCTCAGTCAATTTGGCTGCTGCTGTCAGCTCCCCACTGAACAAGAAGCTTTATAAAAAAATGAATTGCATTCTGTACATTCTAGCTACCTGTTTTATGAAATTATGAAAAAGCAAGGCTGGGATACAGATTTCTAGCTTTCCTACACTCCTTTATTTGATAATAAACATTCTTGCAACGAGGGCCTTCAGGACAATGCACCCTGGGGAGAGGTGTAGTAGAGTAACACAACAGACTTCTAAGTCACATGTGGCAGCGGTCAGCAGCAAGGGAAAATTAGTGTCATATGATGCTTGTTTTATGTTCCATGACAAGCAAGTTGTCTGTTTTGTGATAGGTTTTTATCAACAAAAACAAATTTAGGACTTGTTATCAGCTTTGTCAGAGAAGGTTCTGCCTACCCATGTTAATGAAGAAAGGCAGGAAGGCTGAGTAAAAGATCTTTAATTAATACCGAAACACGGAGTGAAATGTAGGTCACCTTTAATAACCATGTTAGAGGAACAGCTGTGTGTTTCATTTTTGTAGAACAGTTTGTCAGTCAAGGGTTCTTATCGGATACAATTTGGCTTACAAAGAAATACTGAGTTAAGGGGAAATACCAGAACTAGAAAGCTGTAACTGAATGCAACTAATAACCAAGCAAAGGAACTTGGAAATGCCCCAAGTGGAACTGAGGAAGGCACAGCACTTTAATACTATCATATAAATATTAGGTATGGACTACAGTCTACAGGGGGAAATGTATTTTAGTGGAATGAATATTTGCAATGCTAGATAGAAACGGCTGAATGAAAAATATACCATCTCAAGTAATATCGCTTAGGATTCTATGTAACAGCAACCCAGCCGTGTAGTTTGTCAGTACCCCGTATTCCATAGGAGGAATCTCATCTCTAGTAAGAGTTAGATCTCTCAAAGACAATGAGGATCAGATCACAGGATTACAGAGTCCAGAAAGAAGTGCTCAGGCAGCACTACTACATAGCCACCTTTTATACAAAGGGTCTGACTAAATGCCAGCCATGGGGTACAAATCCCAAGGGAAAAAAACCAACCGTCCTGCTGTGTGAGAGCAAGACGTGGGTTGCAGCATGTAGAGAGAAGTTACTTGGCCCCATTGCTATAAAACTACAGTGAAAGAGTATTCTGTCTAACATATCAAATCAAAAGACAGTCATTATTCCATGTGTAGCTGGAACCAGACCTCTGGATGGATTTTATATTGAATAAGCCCAGAGCAGCCTCAGACAAACTGAATTTCTGAGCAGTATGACAGACTTCTGCATAAACCAGAAGAGCTATCTTGGTGAAAAGAATTTGTGTCAGGATTTTTCCAGGAAAACACTGCGGCGGCTTCTTCCATCTTTCCAGAAATATTTTTCTATGTAACTATATTGTTTATTCTATATAAGAATATATAATACTTTGCCCTTGGGTATAAGGTTAATTGCTCTTTTTTTGCTAGTACTTTTACAAAATGAAAACACCATTTTACCAGTAGGAAAAACTCTATGTAAGTGATGTCACTTGCTAAGACTTACTCTGATAGGATCATGGAACCACTGAATAGTTTGGGATGGAAGGTACCTTTAAAGGCCATCGAGTCCAACCCCCCTGCAATGAGCAGGGACATCTTCAACCAGATCAGGTTGCTCAGAGCCCCGTCCAACCTGGCCTTGAATGTTTCCAGGGATGGGGCATCTCCCACCTCTCTGGGCAACCTGTGCCAGTGTTTCACCACCCTCACCGTAAACAGAGCTACTTAGATGTCTTTATATATATATTCCATAAAAATGAAATCTTCACAGGATTGACTCCCACAGAAAGTGAGCAATAAATGTTTTCATGAGGGCTACACTCTGCGTTCCGCAGAACTACTCCCACCTGAAGTGCCTGTGTATTGCAAAGGATATGTGCAGGATTAGAGCGATATAGGATGTTTATCTACAGACAAAGACTCAAATAAGTACTGCCTAAAATGCAAGAAGTCTGACAGATCTAAATCATTCAACGGTGTGCTAAGAGCTTTATGTTGTGTTCTACGGATCTAGAAGGTTTATAACCTCCATGTTATGAAAGTTCCTCAAAACGCATGCATCTTGACTCACTACCTCATCATCTAACTTCAAGGCTCTCCAGGTCTTCCTTCACTTCCTGCTCTCCTAAGTTGCTTTTACAAGTTACAGGGACTAGGTTTGCAGGCTGGAGCAACCAAAACAGAGACACGACTTGGATACTCGATGCTATTATAACCACACTAAAAGCGAACATTTTCACTTGCTTTCTCACACTGAGGCGCGCTGCTGCCAGGAGAGTGCCGGAGGGCACCAGTCTCAGTCTTCCTGCAGATGCTGCTCTCCATGTGACTGGCATGGAGCCACAAAGATCATCTGATCTCTGCTAGCATTTTCAACCCTACAAAATAAAGTTTTGCAATTCTCCTAGCCCAACCCTAATTTGTGAGCAAGTCTGGACCAATTTCATCCTCTGTCCCTTATTATTAAACCATTCCAGCCACTCCTGAAAATTTGTAGTCCATCTGACTGGAAATGAACACAACCAATACATTCTGAACTTTGTCAGGAGGCGAGCAAGCAGGTAATGGGCATTTCAGAACAGCTTGCATAAGGGTTTATATTTCCTGTAAACATTTTTACATGCTCTAGATACATCCTCAACAATGTTAATTTTAAGATGTTGTTTAGTCTTTGCATGTACTGGGCTAATTTTTTCATTTCTAATATACCTTTTCTGTGGAGATGCACCATCAAGCATAAGCTACCTCTAAACTGTTGTGCTGAGATAGCAATCCGAACAAATTTGAGGTGAATCTTAAATTAAAAAAGCAACCGATAAAGTGACTTAAAGGAGCGGTGGTGGAGAGCAGATCACCAGCAAACTATGTAGCACATCATCTTCCTTGGCCATAACTGTCACATCCCTGGCATATCATAGTGGGCCAGGCTACATATGAGCAATGCAACTTATGCTTTACCCTAGTGAATTTTGCTATGTAGCAGTATTTCTACCGCAACGAGAAGCTGAATGAGTCCAGTGACTATGCAAATATTTGAACCCATACTATGTAGACTGTAAAAGCTGGCTGGATGTCAGTAACCTCTGTATGACAAGCACCTAAAAAGGAAAAGGAATTGATCTGCATTCCCTATGGACTAACCAAAAGCAACTTGGTTTAATGTAACAGTATTTCAGGACCACAGTAGTATGAAGTCACGGACACAAAAACAGATGATTACAATTCCTAAAGGTAGTAAAGACAAACAAGTCTGTAAAACCAGCAGCTGATTTCACAACACAAAAAAGTCACAAAAGTGTTAAAGAATTGGCAATAACAAAATGTGGGAGACAAGAAATAGAAGGTAAAATCAGGAGGGACAACGTGTTCTGATGTTATACTTCACTTCATTACAAATGCATCCTGCCAAGCTAACAAGAAATCTCTCCATCTCTTGGGGAATTAACCAACTAAAAATAAACCAATTCAATTTCAAAAATAGGGACTGTGCATTTCCTTTTCCTGACTATAAACTGTAATCCCAGATTTGTGAGATGTAAATACAATCCGAACATAATACGCCAGGAACTTCATCTTGCTTTGGGCTAGGGAAACTTCAAACAATATCTTAATTTACATTAAGGAATGGTTTGAGCCTGTAGATCAAAAGAAGGAGAGCAAAGAGGACAACAACAATATACCTGGTAACTGCTCAGAACAGTTTTCAAAACACGTGCCTTTCTTCCACACAGGAGGCTATGACATGGACTAAAAATGGAGAGACATGGAAAAGAATGGTGCATTACACTGGCACTTACATTTCCCAAATGTCCTCTGGTAGGTTAGCCGGAATTTCTGTTAAGCCCCTTCCTCGACAATCCACTACATTGTTGCTGCAGGTGCAGGCAGATGGGCAAGTGATGGAACTGGCACTGCACGACGGAGGTTCAGACTGGGAACCTGAGGCGTAACGAAAACACTGAACGTTAGTTTTGAAAAATGATCATCTGAGATTTTAACAACAAAATACATCAGCCTCTGAGTTTTCCAGACCCTTTTACTATATTAAGTAATAATTTATTTGGATTCAGTGAATATAATGTGCTGCAAATCAACTGCAGAAAAAACATGTAAAAGATTACTGTATTCTTATTCTTCCTCAGTCTCCACTCTATCCATCTCTTTCACTCATCAACACTTCTTTTGTTCTCTCC